CAAAACAAAATCAAAAGAGTCAATAGAAGAATTACAATAACGATAAGCCAAGTCTTTCAACCTTGACTTCAATGTAATAACGTGATCTAATGAACAAGGAACATGGTGTTTAAGTTGGGAGAACAACGCCTCAAATGCTGCCAGTGTCTCCTCTTTATCAATCTTAATCGGAGGAATACAAAATTGCAAGCCCCTCGACAAGACCGCACTTTCATTCTTTGAAAGGTGAAAACTTGAGTAATTGAAAATATGCTTACCTTCAGTACCAGAGTCACAACCATATCTGAAACGAATAAACAATGTAAGCTGTTTTTCAAATTTAGTGTTAACACGTTGTTTGGAAAATGCATCGCCATTAGTCAAATATTTACAGAAACGAAAAAAGTCAAAGAAGGACAAAAAACGTTTAACTTTAAATAGACAACCATGTCTAAAGTTAATATAAAATTCAAGTTGCTTCAGCGACTTATTAATCTCATCTTGAATAAACGCACGCTCAATTGTCAAACTAGGTCTAACCTTCGAGTGAAAAATTCTTTTGGAAATGAAGAGTGGTGCTACGTCTTGCTCTAAGCAGGAACGTAGGAAAGAGATAGATAGTCTTAATGTTGTGTCGGAAACATGGTGAATATGGCAATGAAGATGAGGATAATTGTCCGAATAATGTAAATAATCATAATGCCTAATCTCAAAGATATAGACAGATATATAGAGAGACATAGACATAAGGCCGGAGCGTACAACGGCCGAAACGTTGTGAATATGGCAATGAAGATGAGGATAATTGTCCGAATAATGTAAATAATCATAATGCCTAATCTCAAAGATATAGACAGATATATAGAGAGACATAGACATAAAAGGCCGGAGCGTACAACGGCCGAAACGTTGTGAATATGGCAATGAAGATGAGGATAACAGTCCGAATAATGTAAATAATCATAATGCCTAATCTCAAAGATATAGACAGATATATAGAGAGACATAGACATAAAGGCCGGAGCGTACAACGGCCGAAACGTTGTGAATATGGCAATGAAGATGAGGATAATTGTCCGAATAATGTAAAATAATCATAATGCCTAATCTCAAAGATATAGACAGATATATAGAGACATAGACATAAAGGCCGAGCGTACAACGGCCGAAACGTTGTGAATATGGCAATGAAGATGAGGATAACAGTCCGAATAATGTAAATAATCATAATGCCTAATCTCAAAGATATAGACAGATATATAGAGAGACATAGACATAAAGGCCGGAGCGTACAACGGCCGAAACGTTGTGAATATGGCAATGAAGATGAGGATAATTGTCCGAATAATGTAATAATCATAATGCCTAATCTCAAAGATATAGACAGATATATAGAGAGACATAGACATAAAGGCCGGAGCGTACAACGGCCGAAACGTTGAATATGGCAATGAAGATGAGGATAACAGTCCGAATAATGTAAATAATCATAATGCCTAATCTCAAAGATATAGACAGATATATAGAGAGACATAGACATAAAGGCCGGAGCGTACAACGGCCGAAACGTTGTGAATATGGCAATGAAGATGAGGATAATTGTCCGAATAATGTAATAATCATAATGCCTAATCTCAAAGATATAGACAGATATATAGAGACACATAGACATAAAGGCCGGAGCGTACAACGGCCGAAACGTTGTGAATATGGCAATGAAGATGAGGATAACAGTCCGAATAATGTAAATAATCATAATGCCTAATCTCAAAGATATAGACAGATATATAGAGAGACATAGACATAAAGGCCGGAGCGTACAACGGCCGAAACGTTGTGAATATGGCAATGAAGATGAGGATAATTGTCCGAATAATGTAAATAATCATAATGCCTAATCTCAAAGATATAGACAGATATATAGAGAGACATAGACATAAAGGCCGGAGCGTACAACGGCCGAAACGTTGTGAATATGGCAATGAAGATGAGGATAACAGTCCGAATAATGTAAATAATCATAATGCCTAATCTCAAAGATATATTTTCCATATATAGAGAGACATAGACATAAAGGCCGGAGCGTACAACGGCCGAAACGTTGTGAATATGGCAATGAAGATGAGGATAACAGTCCGAATAATGTAAATAATCATAATGCCTAATCTCAAAGATATAGACAGATATATAGAGAGACATAGACATAAAGGCCGGAGCGTACAACGGCCGAAACGTTGTGAATATGGCAATGAAGATGAGGATAACTGTCTGAATAATGTAAATAATGCAAGTAATCATAATACCTCATCTGAGAGAGAGAGAGAGAGAGAGAGAAAGAGAGAGAGAGAGAGAGAGAGAAAATTAGAAGAAAAGAAGAAAAATTAAAAAAAATACAAGAAAATGGCAAAAGAATCGAAAGTAAAAAAATAGAAAAAAAATTATGAAAATGAAGAAAAGAAAAAAGGTGAAAATATGGAGGGATGAGGAAAGAAGGAAGAGAAGAAAAGAGATAAGAGAAAGATGAATGAGAAAGAAGAAAAAATGGAAAATGGGAGTAAAAATAGAGAGAGAACACAATAATAATAACAATAATAACAACAACAACAACAACAACAACAATAATGATGATGATGATGATGATGATGATGATGAGAATGACCCGGAAAAAAATGAGTATATACCAGAAAAACTAAAGGAAATAAAGCAATAGCAATAATAATACTTCAAAAAGAAAAAAAAAAAAAAAAAAAAAAAAAAAAAAATTACTTAACATTTAACTAAACGATATTCCGACAATATGTCTGTTTCCTTCATTTTATATTTTGAAAATTTAATTATAAAAATTTATAAATCCACAAAAAAAAAATTATAAGACTTGTAAATTTTTTGTAGATTTATATATTTGATGCTTGAAAAAGTTTTAAATATAACTTAATGAAGCAAGGCATTCTGTTGAAATATTGTTTCAATTGTCAAAAACTGTTTTTTTTTTTTCTTAAATCGCGCTCTTCATTTAATTGTTGAACAATATTGGAAGAATTACGTCAATCATTTTTAATAATAATAATAATAATAATAATAATAATAATTATAAACTATAATAAATAATAAACATCTATCAAAAGACAAGGATCTTGAAATCTCAAAAATGTGGCGCATGAGAACATTAACAATCACTGTTGTAGTTGGAGCCCTCGGATTAATTGGAAAAAGATTCCAATAGACTCATTGAAGGGATTCCTGGTAGCCCATACCTTAAAAAATGTTTTCACGAGTACAGCCTTAGATCTATGTAAGATATGTGTGAGTTTTTTTTATGGGACTACACGATACACGCTGACAGAACAATCAAGGCCAACCGCCCAGATATTGTTATTAAAGATCACAAACAAAAACGGTGCCTCCTTATTGATATGACAGTCCCTGCTGACTGCAATGTATCTTTGAAGATATTCAAAAAGCTGTCAAAATACAAGGACCTTGAAATAGAAATCTCGAAAATGTGGCATATAAGAACATCAACAATCCTGTTGTAGTTGGAGCCCCAGGACTGGTTGGAAAAAGATTGCAGTAGACTAATTGAAGGGATTCCTGAAGTCCATGCCTCAAGGAGATACAAAAATTGTTCTGATGTACAGCCCATATCTTACGAAGGGCTTTATCTATGTAATTTAATTTTTTTTTCTCTTGTCAGTGGAAAGTGTCATGACGCCATTTCTAACTTTAGGACCCTGGGCGGGACCCGGAAAGAAATGTGTAAACGCCAGAAATCAAAGAAAATAATAATAATAATAATATTTCCTGTTGTAGATGGAGCCGTGACATTGATTATAAAAGATTCCAATAGACTCATTGAAGTCCATGCCTTAAAGAAGTACAATAATTGTACTTACAAGTACACCCCACAACTTACGAAGGGTTTCATCTATGTAAATTATGTGCGTTTATTTTTCTCTTTTTTTTTCAAAACTGCTCAGTGGAAAATGTCATGATGCCATTTCTGGCCTTAAGTCTTTGGTCGGAACCCGGAAAGAAATGAATATACACCAGAAATCTAAGGAAATAAAGTGAAAATAATAATAAACCTTATAATTGACAAAGCAGTCCTGTAGATTGTAATGTATCTTTGAAGATCTTCAAAACCTATTAAATTACAAGGATCTTGAAAAAAAAATCTAAAAAATGTAAAACATGAGGACATCAATAATTCCAGTTGTAGTTGGAGCCCTCAGATTGATTGGAAATGACTCCAATAGACAAGTACAGCCCATACCTTACGAAGGGCTTTATTTATGCAAAATATGTGTGATCTTAGCTTTTTTTTTTTAGATGGAATTCTTCAAAAAATGCTTAGTGGAAAATGTCATGAAGCCATTTCTGGCCTTAGGTCTTTGGTTGGGACCCGGAAAGAAAAAAAATCGAAGAAAAAAACAACTCAAAGGAAATAATAATAATAATAATAATAATAATAATAATGATGATAATAATGAGGAGGAGGAGGTGGGAAAAGGAGGGAAAAATAAGGGAGGAGGAAAAGAGAGAATAAATAAGAACATGAAAAGAGAATTAAAAAGAAAAGGGGAAAAAAGGGTAAAGGAAGCGATTAAAAACGGAAGAAATTTTCCCAGTCGGAATGCCATTTTTTTCCTTTTTTTTTTCCTTTTTTTTTCCTTCTTTTTTTTTCTTTTTTTTTTCTTTTTTTTCTAAGGAATGATATATATATATATATATAAAATCACAGTCATGAAGTCATGACGTAAGGCAGTTGTTTGCAATCACTCGACCCCTGGGCCCCACACGTCACTTCACATTCTTCCCAACACGGAACAACACCAACTAGACCACACGCAATGACAAACAGTCGTCCGCATCTTTCAACCCATCTTGACATTCAGACACAGACATTTTCGATATGTTCCTACAGACGTACAGACACCTGCCTTGGAACGAGATGGGAAAATATCACAAACTAACACTCGTAAATATGTGGCTGTTAGGGAGCTGTAAAACAGTGGCCTCATGCCAAACGAGAATCTTATAGTATTTTGATTTATATTTTCATCGTTAATAATTATTTTGATGATGTAGAATACTACTCTAATATTAATCAAACGAGGAAGAAATGGATTATCAGTAGTTAGAAATTAATGCAAGCGTTATGGAGATAATAGGGCTACTATATGTATAATAGATAAACATTTACTATGGAAAAGCATTAAAAATAATTAAGAAAGGGATTGTTAGTGGTCAGGAATTATTTACAATACATTGCATTTTATACTCTATGTCATTTTTATAATGCAACATACTTGCATTTAAAATATGAGAAGGATCCAATATATATATATATATATATATATATATATATACAAAAAGGAATATAGAAGTTTCATGCTAGGCGCAAATCGTCAGGCCACCTGACGATTGCCTCTACCATGAAACAGCCACACGTGACGTGCAGCGTCTACCATGAAATAGACTGTCGCCTCTAAGTATTGACTTCTATGTTCACTTTTTATATTTACACAATGCTCTATCTCTGATATTGAGCACGTTATCCCATAAATGTAGCATACTTTAAGACTATATTTCTTCATATATATATATATATATATATAAATAAATTATTGGAAGTACAAAACCGTAGTATTACAAGGAATAAGTATGAATTATTTTTAAAGGCATTATGGAAACAAAATAAAAATAAGAGATGATAACTCTCACAAACAGACCAACCAGTTTCGTTCCCAAAGCTCATCAGGGTCGACTGGGAACTATTTCTCAATAATTGCAATATAAATAACTCACAAATCCTACATACAATTAAAACTTTAAAAATGAAAAGATTAATGGTATGAAGGAAAAAAAAAAAAATAAATAAATATAAATATTATATATATATATCATTTTCTCTTTTAAACTGTGCAAATATGTCAATAAACGGGGAGAAAAAAATATATATATATATATATATAACAGATGTGAGGGGGTTATGATAAACACTAGAGAATAATGACGTGAAGCCCAAGGGAGACAGTCTCTTTGCTTACACAAAGATGGCTCCTGGACCGAATGTATAGCTCTAGTGCTTTCAAATGGTCCCGAACTGGATAGAACTGTGAACCAATTCGGACTTTTCTTCGCACAATCCCTGCAATTTATTAAGTGCTCCGTGATATGAACCGGAAGTATTAACCAACTGGCTCTTACGAGCTTCCGGATTGAGAACTCGTAATGGGACATGCTGCCTGATCCTACAATCTAAACGTTGGGAAGTCAACTTGATGTAGTTTGTACCACAACCACATTTAAAAAAATATATCACGGAGGAGACATGATGGGGAGGAAGAGGATCCTTTTTCGAGTCGCAAAATAATTCTTAGTTGAGCAGAGAAAAAAAAGCAGTCATGGACGGCTTGACAAGACACGCTTAGCCAAAAGCTCACCTCAAACCAATGAATGGAAGCCGTAGATAAACAGGGCATTTCTGAACACTGTATTGTTTTTCCTTTCGAAAGTTATTAATTTTATCACGCATAACAACATCAAGAATATCATTAGGATATCCATTTTGTAATAGAATGTGGCGGATAAAAATTAAATTCTTCATTCAAAATTTTTTTCGAATTCTTCAAAATTTTATGAGTTAGTGTCTTGATTAGATTGATTTTGATTTCCTGGGATGAAAATGAGTCCCAACGCGTATACAGACCAGAAAAAAACGTTGGTTTACGAAACACCGATGTAAAAAAAATTGAGAAGGAGTCCGATGTACAGTGTACATCAAGAAAAGAGAGACACGAATTAGACTCCCTTTTCAATGGTGAATTTTAAGGATGGATGAAGTTGATTCATAACTGTAAGAAAAGAATCAGCTTCCACTTCACTATTAAAGAGACAAAATGTATCGTCCACATTCGTTGGTACATAGACGGTGCATTGTCATAAGTGAGGACGACTCATAAAAATACAAAAATGTTGGCCAAAAGGGACCCAAAGGAGAGCCCATAGCTACCCCATCTATCTGTTTACATGAAATTGTTAAAGCTAAACTCCACAGACATAGTAGAAATTTCATAATCCAACAAAAAACCATTTCAGGGATATCCGGACGGACAAACTACTTCATATAACATTTGCAGAAATATCAATCGTTTCGGAAAGCTGGAATCGATTGATGGTTAATACTCCGGTTCAGCTATCACGGAGCACTTAATAAATTGCAGGGATTGTGCGAAGAACTTTTTAGTCCGAATTGGTTCAGTTCTATCCAGTTCGCACTCTCTTTTCCATTTGAAAGCACTAGAGTCTCTATACGTTCGGTCCAGGGAGCCATCTTTGTGTAAGCAAAGAGACTGTCTCCTTGGGCTTCACGTCATTATTCTCTCTAGTGTTTATCATAATTCCCCCTCCACTCCGTTATATATATATATATTTTTTTCTCCCCGTTTATTGTGCATATTTGCACAGTTTAAAAGAGAAAAAGGACATATATATATATAATATTTATTTATTTTTTTTTTTTCCTTCATACCATTAATCTTTTCATTTTTAAAGTTTTAATTGTATGTAGGATGTGTGTGAGTTATTTATATTGCAATTATTGAGAAATAGTTCCCAGTCGACCCTGATGAGCTTGGGAACGAAACCAGTTGGTCTGTTTGTGAGAGTTATCATCTCTTATTTTTATTTTGTTTCCATAATGCCTTTAAGAAATAATTCATACTTATTCCTTGTATATATATATATATATATATATATATATATATATATATATATATATATATATATATATATATATATATACCACGTCTTTAGGAATTGCTTTGTTTACATTAGGATATGAAACTGAGTGGATATGAATGCTTCAAGAATATGAGAAAGGTTTGCGTTGATAAGGCCGTATTCAAGCGTCATTGATCTGCGAATCAGTCCGTGGTTCAATCGGTATAAGCTTCTCTGTTTTAATGATGGTTTCTCCTGCCAAGAGGGACGCTGGTTCAACTCGCGCTACAGAGCACATTTTTTTTTTCTAGATAAACGTACTTTTTAAAATTGTAATGGTGTTGGTAAAATTAAGGATAAGATGATCCATAGAGGAAACATTCGGGCTTCACTGAATGAATAATTAGTGTTATTGTCGGTTCAAGTGTAAAAAAACCTTTTTATTCAGTTTTTAAGGAAAATAGATTTCCCAAGTCCACTAACCGTTATAGTTCTTTCTAATATTAATGCTCAAATCCTTTTAATTATTTTTGATAGTGTGGAAAGTTAAGCAGCTTGATTTTTCTTTAATAAGATATCTCGAATATTCCGGCAAGTAGAAAATAAATAAATAAATATACAGTTTAATAAATAAACGAGGAGTCTACTCAAATACGAGTATCAACTAAAAATGGCGTTTAAGTAATAATAATAATAATAATAATAAAAATCGAAATCTCAAAAATGTGGCACATGGGAACATCAACCATCCCTGTTGTAGTTGCAGCCCTAGGATCGGTTAGAAAAGATTCCAGTAGACTAATTGAAGGGATTCCTGGAAGTCCATGCCTTAAAGAAATACAAAGAATTGTTCTCACAAGTACAGCCCACACTTTACGGAGGGCTTTATTTATGTAAAATATTTTTATTTTTAATTTAATTTAATTTTTTATTTTTAATTCTTTTTTTTCTTTTTTGGTCAGTCGAAAGTATCATGAGGCCATTTCTAACCTTAGTTCTCTACACGCCAGAAATCAAAGGAAATAATAATAATAATAATAATAATAATAATAAAATATATATATAATTTCAATAGAAACAAAATAAATAGAATAACATATGTATTTTTTCTTTTTCCCTCAATAATTTAAAAATTTTAAACTTAATCTAGATTAAATTTTCATTTTTGAAATTTTTTTGAAATGAGTAGTTTTTAATTTTAATTTCAAATTTTATCATACAATTTAATACTTATTAGTTAGAATAAATTCTATTTTAGTATAAACCTAACTTTAAAGCAGTTAATAGTTATTATAACTTTACTTCGTTGTCAAGTTTTTTGAATTCTCGTATACTTGTATTTTGATTGGTCATTCCAGCTCATGTAACAGCGTTTCACCTTACGAGGGGGGATTAATTGATTTGTACCTTTTAAACCCTTTATTCTACAATCTACATTCAACATCATCGCTTGATAAGACACCAGAGGTGTTGAAACAAAATGGCTATTGTTGTAGTGATTTTATAACATATTTATGTTATAATTTTTGAATAAATACTTATATATATATATATATATATATATGTATGTATTTGTTCTTTATGGGGATAGACGGTCATAAAATTTCTATATGTATAGTATTTTTCATAATAGCAATTACCGTAAAATATCCGTTTCCATTCAGAAAACATTCGACATTCACTAAATGAATGAATACTGTTATTGTCAGTTGAAAATTTATAAAATCTTTGGTAAACTTGGACCTCCGTGCTCGCAAAACCATAATATGTCAATTGGCAATCAGCCGGTGTTTTGCCAACCATTCCAATAATCAATCAAATAATTAGTGTTTAATATTTTTGCTGCAGGGGGAAAAACCGGCCTTTGTTCCGGTCATATAGGTTGAATGTGTCCAAAACGTTTTACTAAAACAGTTTTTTCAGGAAATTAAACTTAAGTCCAGTAAATGTCATAGCTCTTTCTAACACTGATGGGAGTTTCCATTCAATCTTTTTTTATTTTTCGTCATGGGGAAATTTAACAGCTTGATTATAATTTGTAATTGTAATGGTGTCGGTAAAATTGAGGATAAGATGATCCATAGAGGAAACATTCGACATTCACTGAATGAATAACTAGTGTTATTGTCGGTTCAAGTGTAAAAAAAAAAAAAAAAAATTCAGTTTTTAAGGAAAATAGATTTCCCAAGTCCGCTAACCGTTATAGTTCTTTCTAATATTAATGCGTAAATCCTTTAAATTTATTTTGGGGGTGCAGAATTAATTTCAATGTCACCCACCGCGACGCAAATGAGTC